CTTTTTGTATAGTAAAGCTGAAAATTTAAAAAAAAAATTGAAAGATATATAGTCCTTTTTCAGAACTTTTTTAAAACAGCTCCCATCTGAGGAAGAAAGCTTAAACGTCTCCAAGTTCTATTGAAGCATTAAGTTAGGGCATCAGAAAGCCAAGTAAATGCGTGGACACCATTATATCAGCCTCATAAAAAATTTCCTGCCCTGAGTTATGATTTAATGTCACACCCTCTGCTTTTATGGAGGGCCAATCTGTGAATCGCCCAGGAGAACAATGTTTTTGTATCTTTTGGAAAACTCTGGTTGTAGATAATGTACGCTGAATGATTTTTGTGGGTTTTTGTTTTTGTTCCCCTTTAAATACTGATGTGCATGCTGTTTCTTCTTGGGTTAAGGTCCAGGAAGAATTTTCTCTATAGATGAATTTGTATGATTTCTATTATTGTGTAATTCAAAATGTTTTTCTTCATAGCTTAGCTGCCAGAAAATAAACTAATTGTCCCTGTACTATAATCTTCTCAACTCAAGAGCTTAAACATGCCAATACTTTTTCTCATATGCCTTTTCAAATAACCTTAAATGTGATTTCTCTTACTTGTTTTAACTGCTAAGTCACCCTAAGCCATTTCAGAAGAAGTCAAAGGACATATTTAAAATATCTTTTTTTTTTTTTTTTTTTATGCTTTATATAAATTCTGTAAGGAACAATTTTTTTTTTTTTTTTTTTTTTTTTAGTGAACTAACATCCTGAGGAGGTGTTTGCATAATGATAAGTCTGGGTTTGAAAGGTTAGCCCTTTAGATGCTATTTTTATCACCCTCCATCCAAAGACTGTTAAGCTGCCTCCACATGGATGGGGGCACCTATGTTTGCCTCTTTCACTTTCCTGAACTGTGGTGATCTGCATGGAAGAGTATTTCTACTGAGCTCTGCTTTTCTCCCATTACAATAGAATTCTTTTTTTAGACATGGGAATATTATGTTTACTAGAATTACTAATTATATTGAATGATACACAATTTAAGTAAAGATTTAAAGGGCCGTGAAACGTACCTAGCTTTAAATTGGTTCTCCCTTTGGTCATCTTCAAGTTCATCGCCACTTGTAAAATGCTGTTTATTTTTCTGACTGCCCAAAGCTTAGCAACTCTTCCTGGGCAGCTCTGGATTTGAAGTCAGACTTGTAAGTTTCGAAAGGGTGGACACTTTGTCTCTTGTGTCTGCTGTCATTTCTCCAGGGCCTTGACCGTCGTGGCCAATAAATATCTACTGAGCAATTAAATAAATATTTGTTCTGCATCTCTCTAACTGCCAGGGAGATTCCTAGCAGTCACTTCTTCTCTCTGGTCAAATGATCTCAACCATGTCACGGTCATAAAAGTATATGTATGATGAGTGGGTTGTAAAAGCAACATAAGGTAATGGCCATGAAAAGCCACAGTGAATTGTGAGGCATTGTGGATGGGGACAGGTGTGGAAAGAATCTTGTTTTTTCTCTGTGGCCTCCTCTTCTTTCTCATCTCTACCATTATCCTTGTCATCATGACTCGTGGTCCCACTCTGAAAGCAGTCTGCCCCCTAGAGTTGTCTTTGGACCAGCACACATAAATGTTCTGGAGGTCTTCTACAGCTGGGTCATCTCCACCCTTGGCCAGGTCAGTGAGAGCCCAGAAGACTCACAAATGCAAACCCTGCTATTCAGTTCTACACATCACTGCAGCTGTATAACTATAATACATGCAGGCTGTGATGCTTTTGGCTTAAAGAAGCATGAGGCATTTCTTTGTCATATGCCATCAGCTTCCTCCCGTTTTGGGGAGTGTGGAAGCAGAGAGATGCTGAGAAGGGGAGAAATAGAGAGAGACACACAAAGACATACAAAAGCATCCACTTCTTTAAAAGCTTGTATAGGAGAATGATATGTAATGCTATTATTTCACAATGACAAGCTAAACTGTGATATAGAAAGAAGAGAATTCCTAAAATGATAATAATAGTAATAATAATGTAGTTTTACATGAAAAAGAACTAGAGTGGGATACAGATGACACAGTGACAACTAGGGGAATTATGGACAGTGTCAGGGGATACCTGAGACCATGGAACAAGCACGTGGAGTCAGAGGCCTGGGTCCTGATCTTGGATAAGACTTTGCAGCTCTTTGAACCTCAGTTTCTTTTCTCTGCAAACTCAAAGTTCCATACAAGGCGGTCTCAATGATCTTACACCAGTAAAAAACCCATCACTCCATCCACAAATTGGAGAGAGCAAAGGGCACACATTTCTGTGGTATAGTTAGAGATAGAACAAGGGGATTCAAAAAGCATTTGCACCAATTGCTCTGGAGTTTACTGTCTTTGCTTTTTTTTTTTTTTTAATGTGACATTTTATATATTTTTATGACTTCCCAAAGGGCCTCTGTAGCCCACTGTGCTTTTCTCACAGTGATTGTTAAAGGGTAAGGAAGAGGGTGGGGCTTGCCTCACTGGATTTTCTCAGAGACCCTGGCAGGTAGAGTTTAAAATGCATTTAAAAAATAATAACCATTAGCTTGGTGTATAGTTACAGCATTTAATTTATTCGCTTACATTATAAATCATGGTGGAGGATATTGGAAGATGTTTAGTTATCAAAAAGAAGCATGAACTTCAACTTAGAAATAAAAACTGAGCCCATACCACAGCGTACTGAGAACTGTATATGTTTCTCCAGCACCCACCCATGGGCTGTTCTTTCGTGGTAGGAAATAAGATTTTTTTTTTTTACCATTTTATCCTTAGCCTAACCAAGGGTGGATTCTCGATATTTGTGGAAATAAATTGAATCCCTCTTATCTGTTTCCTAAATGAAAGTCTATTTGAAAAATATGGCCAATGTGTTTATGTGAAACAGCATAAAGACAGCAAGCAGAACAGATCCTTACTTAGTCCTGTGAAGTTCTTTATCTGGGATTATTTTCCCTCAAATGCTTTTATAGAGGAATGGATTTTTTTTTTGGTAGCTGTAAAATTTTTAAAAAGTACTGTGAAATCTTGAACAAATAGTAATTTTACACTGTATACTTCATCAATAAAATCAGTTACGGAGAATTATGTAATAAATTAAATATGAAATGTAGTTGGAGGTAACAGCACTTTGAGGTATCAACTTCATGTCACATTACAGCCGAGGCAGAAAGGTGTAATATTCACTGAATAAACTGCCACTACTGACAAGCCGAGGTGGGGGGGGGGCGGGTATTCAAGAAATGCCATTTAAATTTTCAAAGAAATAATATTTTTTAATTAAAGTTTACCGGGGTGACAGTTGTTAGCAAAGTTACATAGACTTAAGGTTTACAATTCTGTAATACATCATCTATATGTCACATTGTATATCACCCCAATAAACTTTAATGTAAAAAAAAAATTTTTGTCTTTTATTACTAATACTTCAGAATTGAGAGTGTTTGAAAAAAAACACTTACTGAGACAATATTAGGTTGAACTTGCTGTTTACATAGGTAAAACCAATAGTAGGATATATGTTTATACGTTCACAAAGGTTCTCTTCTTGACCAAATGCTAGTCAGGCTCCTTTGAACTCTGTCAACAAGGCTCCATCCTTGGGCATGTCTGCCAAGTGCTCAGCGTTAGCAAGGATCTTAGCGGGTCAAGCTGGTTTAGCCAGAATCGCCCACCCTGGATATATGATCCCCTTCCTCATTCCTCAGCAACCGCCATGTGATGTCTGATCACCCAGGCCTGCCCTCAGCAAGACCTGGTAGACCAGTTTAGCAGGAATCCCTACTGGTTTAGTAATTGTCTACCCACTGACACCCCCCCCAGCCTACTTCTTAGCTATAAATTCCTACTTTGCCTATATTCAGAGCTGAGCCCTGTTCTATACTGAGGTTTCTTTTCCTCTATTACAATAATTCCTGGTTAAAATCTGCTTTTACCACTCTAAGTACTATACAGCTCTGGTTTTAATAAGGATTCAATCTGAAACTCTGTGTGTGTGTGTGTGTGTGTGTGTATACATACATACATACATACATACATACATACATACATACTTACATAGGGTGCCAAAAAATGTATAAACATTTTAAGAAAGAAAAGCTATTAAAATTGTAATATTCAATATATACCGATAACAGAAGATGAATACAAGTCACATTTGACTTCTGCAATTACAAGAGGTGCTCAAAGTAGTTACCATCAGCGTCCAGACACTTCTGATTACAGCTAACTACTGCTTGAACAACGTTGACCAAAGTGTACACTTGTATGCATTTTTTTGGCACCCCCAGTATGTATATAAAGTAGTGCTATAAATTATGGGATTACAAAGATGAATGCAGCTCTTACTACATAACTCATTGAAATTCTGTTTTATTTGATAGAGAATATGAGGAGACTGACCAAAAGGTTAAAGATGAAATGGGGAATCAAAAACATAAAATTGATTAAAAACAAAATTAGGAAATTTAAAAATTACATGGAAATTCGAGATCAGCGAAAATTATAATTATGCAGATTCTGTGATCTTATTTAGCAAAACTGATTTCAAAATATGACTGTGAGCTTCCCAGCAGCCAAAAGAAGGGAGAAAAAGTCAAGACAGTATTGATTTTGCACATAAATGAAAAGCCTACAAAAATTGAGATTTATGTCACTTAGTTCTGAGTCCACATGGAAAAAATGTGTTTAATTAATAAATAGTTTTAAAATCGGGAAGCTAAATTAGCTAAAGGGTTTTTTTTTTTTGTCATGATTGTTGTTGTTATGTGGTGGTGGAGTCTTTAAAATTTATTTTAATTTCCTAGTGAGATACCAGAGAATGAGAATGCAAAGGGAGACTATTGGAAAAAATTTGTGGAGAAAACGTCATTAGGATTGTATTCACAAAAATGTGTAGGATAATGATATTTAACACATACAGTACTTATTATGTATGACACTATTCTGAATATTTCACATTTATTAACTCATTAATTCTTACAACAATCTTATGAGGTAGGAAATATTATTATTCCACATTTCATGTAAATATTATTATTTTTCACACTTCAAATGAGAAAAATGAGGCATTGAGCACTTAAATACCCAGTCCGAGGCTACACAGCTGGTAAGTACCAGAGCCAGGCTTCAAAGTTGGCAGCTCAAAGCTCATCATTTCAGTGGCTTCACCATTCTGCCTTCGTTAGATCTATGGTCTTGCATATTTATAGACCTTTAGAAGACTTAGAAAGTAACTCAACAAGCAGCCAGCCGCACCCACAACACACAAACATAGGGCGTGAATGGTCTGTGACCTGAAAGAAGAGATGCTCACCCCACACGGTGTTGCCAGACAATGGGCACAATGGAATAAGCAGAGATACAACTCAGAAGGTTGTGGAATGTGGTGGCAAAGACCATGGCTCTGAAGCCAGCCAGACCAGGTTTTGAATTTATGCAATTTCCTATCAAGGAGACTACCAGGGCATTTTCTAATTCCTCTTAAGTTCTGTGGCTTCTAAAAACAGGGACAAAGATTCCTCCCCCACTGAGTTTGTGCAGATTCCATGAGATAACGTATGCAAAGCGTTTTAGCGTATTGTCTGGCAGGGGATAGCTCACAACAAAAGATACCAGCGATTGAGGTGACAATTAGAACCGTCAGCCAGAGAAACGAGCCCTCAAACCAGGAGTAATGACCCCAGGAGCCTTCACTGAAGCTCTCCAAGGGGAGAAGAGTGCGGTACGTTGATCTAAACTGAGAGACGGCCAGACCCAGAAGTATTCATCAGTGGACAAAGATAGAGCAGAAGAATGAGCCCTCATCCCCATTTCAGGACAACTTCCTTTTATAACTTGAGAAAGAAAAATTAGCATAGCCCCTCCATGTTTAGTCCTTCAGCTTCACGGGTGTCATCAGACTACAGGGCATTGGAGCTAAAAGAGCCCAAAGGGTTTTAACACGTTCAACTCCTCCACTCCAGAGTTCATGGAAAATGGGCACAGAGAAAACCAAGCTGCTCAACGTTTAGGGCAATCCAGGGCCAACGTGGCGAGTACCTTTCATGTTAAAGGTCTTTTTGCTGCCAAGCCCGTCTCACTGAGGCAGCCATTCCCTCACTGACTATGATGAGGGACTGCTGTGCCCGATACAGAGATGCAGCGATGAGTATGCTCTTTTCCTCTTAGCTTAGAGAGATGTGTACCCCAGAAGCAGGCTGGGAAGACAGAGAATGGCTTGAACTAGAGAAGCTCTAGAGATATTAGTAACTAATTTTATAGGGATCATAGTGAAGGGCTGTCGAACCTTATGTGACATGACAAATGGTCAAGGATGGTTTCTGGAAACAGTCGATGGCCGAGCACAACAAGGAGGAGGTCACTAGGAGAAGAAGAGGTCAGGTTTTCCAGAAGGGGATCTGAAAAGGAATGAAATTAGCCATGCCTACTGAGAAAGCGTAGACGCCACACCCAGGGCAGACCACACTCAGTCACAAAGGGTGAACCAGACGCTTCTCAATGCAATACTCACTGCCTTGCTCTGCTCAAACAGGGTTTCTATGAACTCTGTTTTTGAGACGAAGAACCATTAGCACAGGGAAGTCACATAACCTTCCCGTGTTATACCATGAGTACCAGCACCTGGATTCAAAACCCAGGCATCCTCACTCCAGAATCTACACACAACCGTTACCACGCAATAGCCTCCTCTGAAATCAAGTCCTCCCAAAAGGGAATCTAACCTCAAATAGAAACACAATTCCAGAGAAAAACAGGCAAGAAGTTTGGCAGATGAAACTAAAATGCGTGAATTTGAGTTTATTTTAGCTTCTAGAGTCAGAATTTATTTGATAATTTTAACTGCATGCTAATTCGCAAAACGATCAGAAAATGAGCCAGGTCTCGATTTTTTAAAGTCATTTTTCTGACAAAATTGTATGATCAAATGAAATGAAATCCTTCACTTTGCATTGAACTTTCCTATCGTGATTAGGAGGAAGGTAATTTTTGTAAAAAATATTTGAGAGATTCATCACTGTTCCCCAGGGCTTTTCCTAAAATCCTTTGATATTCAAATATTTCCCTTTTGAAGTTTCTAATCATCTTCCTTGTTGATTTTCTCTTTTTCAATTGTTAATTGGTCTAACTCAGCCTAATCCTCGTTTGCCAGTGCTTCTGAACGTGATGCCAGAGAACCTTAGCATCACTTTCAGTAACTTGATGATACTGTACAGCTTTCACAGGACTGCAGTTTTACTTTGCAGGTGATAAGCAGTGTAGTCTCCTTATGGTGGGGGTGCTCGAAATATTTTATAAAATCGGTGATAGCCTAAACAACCGCAATAATTATTTTGATGTGATGGGAAGAAACAGGGTAAGTAAATACCCTGGTGGAGACTAATTTTATAACCACTAGGTTTCTACATATACTTTTTTGCACAGCCATAACTATTTGAGTCCAAGTAATGGGCACTCATAATGAAGGATCCCACTTATATAGATTCCTTGAAATTCCCCAGGGTTCCAGAGCTACCAGGGGAAACAAGAGACCCATGTGCTCAGTTGGAGAAGGAGAACATTTGGGGAAAAGAAGCCGGGAAAAGCTTTTGAGAAGAGAGTTGCATTTGATGTGTACATTCAGCATATGGAATCCAGCTCCTAGTAACACATTCCCCCCTAGTCTGTGGGTAGTAAAGCTTTTTTTCCAGTACTTTGATGACTTTAGGACACACTGTGAGCTGCCCAGAGTCTGTTTTTCTAGGGAGTTGAACCGCAGGCAAGCCCAGTGACTTGGTTGATGTTCCCACTGCCTGGAGTGGATAAAGGGCTTCTGAAATTCAGTACCTCCCAGGCACTGTCCCTTCTCCTAGGGAAAAATAAATAATTAGCTCTGTGTCTTTAATCTGCAGCTTTCTTGTGGAGCTGGGGAGCAGACACTTTCATGAAGACTCTTCGAACAACGTCAGCCGCCACACTGGTAAGTCTGGCTGTAGAGGGCATCGCAACAGTCCAGTTCATGCCTTGTTGTCAGTAGAGATAAGGAACCGGAACCTATTCTTCAATCAGGGAAACACTGGGGGAGATGTTCTTTCTGCCCTGCTGTGCCCACTGCTTTCCACAGAGCTGGTTTGTGTGCAAAGAGCTGGCCATCTGTTGTGTCTGGGGTGCAGGAGAAGTGCATATGTCTGTGTGCAGCAGAAGAAATGTAGACTCTCAGCTTTACAGAACCGAGTTCCAGAATTTCTTGTGTCTCAGGAGCTGCCTGGAGCCAAGAAGGAAAGGAACAAATGTTTTCAGTGGACTGTTCTTTCGGTTATGTCTTAGCCTTGGGATCCATAAACCCCTCTGTTCCCAGCACATGACTCAAGTCTCAGCACATGCTCAAGTCCACACATTTTTATTAAGCATCTTGTTTCGTGACAGTCACTATGAGAGCCACACACATGGGCATGCACACACACACACACACACACACACACACACACACATGCCAGCTGCCATTTTCTATCCATGTTGTATATTCCAGTCAGTGTGGTGATAGATTCATGTTCCTTAACTCTTTTAATGCCTGCACCAATTCTCACAGGAAGGTTTTATCTATCTCCATTTTATAAAAGGAAATGGAGGCTAAGCAGGGTTCGCAGGCATGTCTAAGGGGACAGAGAGAAGCAGCTCTGAAGAACTAGAATTTTAAACCAGGTGTCCCTGACTCCAAAGCCTCTAATCTAAAGTTTTATCTCTCTTATCAAACATATGCTTGTGTGTAATAATATAAAATACTGAAATCATACCGTAATAATTGCTGCAGTAGAGGTGAAAACAGCAAACAACTCATCAGGAACATATTGGTGTAAAGATTCACTGAAGTCTGAGCTCATAGATTCTCATAATTAGAAGGGACGTCAGATGGCCTTAAATGACCCTGTGCTCAAATATCTGCACTGGACAGTGATCAGAAAGGGTGACTCCAAGAACCTGTTTCAACTCCCGAGATGTTAGGACCTTAATTATTACATGGTATCAGTTGCTGCTTCTCAGATTAGCATGTCTATACCCCCAGGGGGGTTCCAGGGATCAAGTTTACAGGAGAATAAGGATTCTGAAGGCTATATTAGAGCGAACTGTTGACTTTCATGCAAAGTATGTATGGAATTTTACCATAAAACAGCCATCTTCAAAAAAACGTTTGTACTTTCAAACTCCAATTTGAGCTACGCTCTCCTAGGTTCCTATGAGCACATGCTCATTGTCTTTAGTGATAAGATTTTCCTTGGGGGAAAAGGATGAGCAAACTCTTAGACACCATAGGACTCATTGTCCCACTGTCATTTCTGATTCACAGAAGGAATTTCCATATTTTGAATTGAACGCTACCTTTCCCTCCAGCTCTAAGCACTGAACTTCCTCTCTGGAAGTAGCCAGTCCTTTCACTAAGCATGGTTTTCAGAGAGGCCACATCCCCTCTTTGTTCTGCCAGAGTCTGGGAGTAGGTTTTTATCTCTACAGTCAAATGGTTCATCGACTATATTCAGATCATTTGATCAGTCAGCGCCTTTTGGGGCCCAGATCACACAGCTTTCCTTGTACAGAACCAGTGTTTAGCCAGTTCTGGGACACAAGGAAGACCATTCTCTGCTCGGGGCCCTAGTCTCCTTCTGTGGACAGCCTGAAAGATGCAACCTGGTCATGTTTATGGCTGACTGCTCTGGGCCGTGGACAGAAGCGCAGAGCTGAGACATTTCGAAGCACCTGGCAATGCCCTTCAAATGAGTGTGCTACTGCTTACTTTAAAATAACATCTGCCGTCACCTCGAAAATGAGCCAGGCCTCCAATTCCATAGTAACCCCTGAAGGCTAATATTTTGGCTGTTTAATTTCTCTGAATAAGTATTAGAGGGGAGCAACAGCATAAGGGCAGTATCCCAAGTAGGATGGGGCACTGCTGGCTCCAATAAGGATCATAACAACAAGCTAGGGCCGCCTCCACCATGGCTCATCACCACGGATATCTAGGAGGGTGTCGTAACGCACAGAAAAAGTTTAATAAGTGAGAGGAATCCACATCCCAGGGGTTTGATACTCTCCGTCATAGCTAAGTAGCTTATCCACACCAACCAGCCCTAGCTAACAAAACTGAAAACCCAAACCCTCCCCTGCTTCAAGCCTCTTCATAAGCCAGCCGTCCCCTTCTCAGTCCTGCTTCAGGATGCTTCTCCCTGTTCCATGAACGTGTTTCATGCCTCTATGCATCTGCAGACGCTGGTTTCTCTGCCCTTCCCCCAACTTAGCAAATTCCCTATTCATGTTTCATGATCCAGATTAATTAAGCCTGAGCTTCGGAGATGCATAGAGCTGGATTTGAATTCTTATATTCTGATAGGTGTGGGGCTTAGGTAAACTACCTCCGAGTTTGTAAATAGAGCACAACAATAATTACTGTGCTATATAATTGCTGTGATTAGCCCACTAAATACAATTTTTAAAAATTATTAGTAGAATGCTTATCACATTGTTGGCACTTGGTTATTTTTGTTATTACTAATGGCATTTTCACTGGATTTGCAACAATCTGTCTCCTAATTCCTTGCTCTTAATTATTGTTCAGTAATAACCCATTTATTATTATAAACCAAGGATCTGCAAACTTTCTATAAGGGAGAATTTCTATAAGTGAATATTCTAGGCTCTGTGGGCCATAAGGTTTTGGTCAGATCTGCCATTGTAGCATGAAAGCAGCCATGGACAATACAAAAATGGATGGACTAGAGAGTTCTGAATGGTAATATCAAATACCAGATCTTATTCATCTTGTAACGCCCAGCATCTAGCTCAGATGCCTTCAAGCTATGGCCCGTAGGCCAAATCTGGCCCACTGCCTGTTTTTGAAAATAAATTTTTTGTTGGAACACAGCCATTCCCGTTGGTTTATATATCGTCTCTGCCTGCTTTTGCAATACAAAGACAGACTTGAGTAGTTGATAACGGAGAACCTATGACCCTCAAAGACTCAAACATTTGCTAAGTGACCTTTTTCACAAAAGGTTTACCAACCTAGCTCAATGCTTGGGACCTATTTGTTGAATGAAGCCTGGCCAGAAATAGCCAGAATCAACAGTCTGGCCTGAGTGCCCTGCAAGCTTTAGTGAAAGGAGGTGGACAGAAGCAAAGGTTATAAATCTTGGTAGATTCAAAGAGATCAGAGAACCAGCAAGAGTGGTCATTGAGTAGGTTTTTTGAGCCTTGGTCCTAGGGCCAAGACTGGTATGTTGGAACTCTGTCCTATGCTCCCTACTGGATGTTGATGAACATGCCCAGAAGAGGAAACTGAGGCCCAGGGAAGGGAATGGTTTGCCCAAGGTCATATACCTGGTGTGCTTTGGGTTCGTACCAGTCTGGCTGCAGTTCAGGTTCTTGTAAGTGACGTGTGCACCTAACAGAGACATGGGCCGAAATGCTTGGATCACCCAAAATTGGATGGTTACAAAAGAGCTTCTAATACCATGAAATGTTTATCTTTTATTTGTCCATCAGCATCTTCCTGCCCTATGCTTCAAGATGATCAGCTTAATGGTGTGCTTATTTTTTGTAATGACGGCCCATAAAAATTTAAAAACACATTAGAGCATTTTACAGATGAGCAAGTCTATGACTGATGAGGTATGAAATTTCCATTCAACCATATTTGGCCAATCTGATTCTCTACCCTAAACCCCTTTGCTAAGGCCCGCCATACTAGAGGAAGGGACTTGTGATCATTTTTTTGTTCTTTTTTAGAATGATTTCATTTTGTTTATATGTCTCCTATTTAGCCCCTAATATCACCATGGGACTTGGGGGTATTAACAAAGTTTTATTTGATCATGGCTAGTTAATGAGTTCACATGGAACTACTTTTAATCAAGGATAAACTATTTTTCATTTTTGCCCTGTCCAGCTGCTACCCTGACTATCTCCTACATTATTTATAAATGTCTTTCATAGTCATAGTCAACCAGAGATCCCATTTTTTTAAGATTCCCAAAGAAAATGAAAACCTTAGCAGTTGAGTTGAACTTGGAGGGAAAAAAGAAAACATTGCCTTTATACAGAAATTTCCACTGCAGTCATTTTGTTTGTGTGTGTCATTTTTCAATTTTGTTCTCTGGGACAGATACAAGCTATCTGTCTATAGCAAAATGTCCCCCTAAGATCAGAGAACTGACCACTGGTCTTGGAGGTCTAGCCCACAGTTTTCTAACCCCTCCTCCTGCCAGGGCACACCTCCACCGAATGCATTAGACCCCTCTATGCACCCCAGCTCCCCAACCTGTGCCTTATGCTTGGGAAGGACATTTGCAGAAATGGAGAATTCAGCCTCTCTGCAGAGCTCATGCTCACATGCTGGGAAACCCAATCACATGAAATTTTTACCTGAAGTCCATGCACTAACTTTCATCCAGTGGCCCTTTGCCTAACTTCTAGCGCCAACTCAAGCAAGGTGTCTCCCTTTAAGATATAAAATACCTTCACAGAGTTGAAAATGACTATCACACCTCTCCTTGTAACTCGGCTCCCTTCAATTCCAATATCTGCAATCCAATCACCCATGCCAGTTAGCTTAAACTCCCAGGCCACACACCCCATGGGCATAATCCCACTCACCAGTGCTCACTAAGGACAACTTGTCAGTTGTCATACTTGGCAATAGTTGGATTTGATTAAAGGAACAATACATACACGCACATCTATTCTGTTTGTTCTGGATTCTGGAGTCTGGAACTGGAAAGACACTATTAAGATCATATCTATCTCTTTTTCTTCATCCGCTTCTGTATATCTTCTATCTTCATGGTTTTTCCCCATTGCTCTTCATTTTCAGAAATGATAATTGAATTGTTAAGCCTAAAAGAAACAGAATGACTTGCCTGAGTTCATGCTGTGAAATGACATATCCGTGCAAGTAGTTAAAGCTAAGAAAATAATATTTAACTAGAATCGCTCTGTGCCAAGCACTTGGAACATGTTTTCTCATCCAGTCTTTACAGAAAGCTTCATGCCTTCATTCCTGTTGAACAGATGGTGTGACTGAGGCTAGGAGAAGGGAAGGCCTTCCCGCGCTCATGGAAGTGAGCCGAGATCTTAATGGTTTTTCTGGAAGACCAGCCTTCTCCTCACCTCGGAGTCCTATTTAAATCATAACCCTCACAGTCTTAGGCCGATTATACTGCTTCTTTCTAGGAGCAGGAACTATTCTTCTTTTCCCCTAATTGCAAAATCTTAGAGCAGGAAAAGACCATATGGAGGTTGTCGAGTCCAACTTGATAACTAAGAAGAAAAATATGCACTAATATTGGGTTCCTTTATACTTTAACATCTAGCATTCCACATGTTTGTGAAGTTACCATCTTAGCTTAAAACGAAGTCATCACCACACTCACCCGAGCACGTAGTGTCACCTGGTGACATCACGGTCACCATAGCAACAGCTGTGCACTAGTAGCATATTGCTTTCCGTTAGGGATCATGCAACGAGTTAACAAAGTATGACAGCTTCAGACGCTGATGGGAACAGGAAGGGAAGACATGGAGAAGGAGGAACAGGTGTGCTACTTCTCCTGCCAACATTCCTTAAACCTGAGATGAGGTGGGAGTGAACATGTGAATAATCCTTAAGGAACAAAAATAAATCTCCTAATCACCTAGCCCATAAAAAAGAAGATAGGGAGGGGGGATAGAAGAGATAGTAGAAGCATCCTGGTGTCCTATTTCTAAATGTCAGAGTGTTAAAAATTATTGATCCTTTCTCTGCCTTTTGCCTTTGAGCCATGTAGCATATCAGAAAGAGCATATCAGAATTAATCCTGGATGGGAACTTTTGACTATAGCAGTTATAAGCTTTTCACACTTGGAAAAGTTCCCTACTCTTTTTAATCTCAGTTATCTCATCGGTAAAAGGGGTGTGAAGTTTGCATCCTGAAAGTGTCCAGAAGATCAGAGGGTAACGCAAGTAGGGTACCTGACAGTTGAAAGCCCTCAGTTTACCTCACTGTTTCTGAGTGGTTGAAATTTAGACTTACAAAAGATGGTACAGTAGTGGGAACATGAATGGCTGTTGTATCGATTTCTGTACTTTAATACATGTTTGAACTATTCCACAATTGTTTGATTTCTAAATAAAATGTGTACTTGGTTTAAATCCCACTTAGGTCATCAATATCAGGTACATTGTACTCTGCAAACTTGGTCAAACCCCTCCACTTCTCTACCTTAAAACCGTATGAAGAGAAAAATAGGATTTTATGCTTCTGTTATTCCTTGCTACTTATAGCACATTTTAATATCATTTAGTTGCTAAACATGTTTTACAACACCCATAGATGTATCCATCACTGGAACTGTAACATCGAAATTAGATATTTATTTCTATCCTTCTTATTTAATGAATGTCTTTCTAATTAGACTTCAAGGTTTTTTTATTGTATCCCCAGGTTCTAGCATAGTACCTTACACAGAGAAGGTACTCAATACACACCTTTGTTGAATAAACAGATGTCTGGCAGAAATCTTTAGTTGAGATAAGCACTCAAAATGTCTGCAGGTTATTGAATCCTCCTATGAGTCCACTCCCTAAATAACCAAATATGCCCGTATGTGTCTGAGATTGTCTGTATCTCTACCCTTTAGACTTCTGTCCTTGAGGCTCCGTCTCAAGCTGTCTATTTTTCTGTATGTCTCTCTTTATCTCTCTAAATATACATATGTCATTCTCTTCTCTCTCTGCCTTTTAAAAATCTCCCTCCCTCCCTCCCTCCCTCCCTCCTACACTAGCTCTCCCTTCCTCTGCTCCCTTGTCTTTTTAGAAGCTTTCTCCATGGGACTTTCCTGCCAACATAATTCCATGTGAGTTACATTCGTTTGCAAAACCTTTCACTGCATGAAGATGTTCTCCTTAATTAGTCAAAGTTCAATTTTTTTTGTCCCTGGCAGAGTGTCATACATCACCAAGTCCAGAGAGTCATTAGCTGTGAAATAAATCAGGATGGAAGAAAGCAGAATAAAATCCTAGACCTAGGTGAAACTCAGCTATGTCTCAGGTCCAGCCGTGCCTTCTCTGCAGGACCCAGGCCTCTCAGGACCTCTGGGGCCATTCCTGCTTGTGAAGGGGCACAGAGCGAGAGGCTGGGGTTTACCCCAGCAAATATTGTGTTACAGCTCCTACAGGACAGAGCAGGAGACCAGGGAAACTGAGGGCTGACTATCTCCAGCACAAATACCCTGTCTGGGCGCTCCCCTGACTGTTTTGAGAGAAAATATGTATCTGCCAGAGAGACTCAGTTTAAGTGGAAGGTGACTGCTTCCATCCTCGGGGGACAAAGAAGAGAACGTGTTTTCACAGGAAGGTCCTGCCTACTATGCAACCTTTAGGGAATGCTGCCTGAAGATGATAACATTGACATGTTAAAATGACACTTGATTTAATTTCTTAAATTCTCAAAAGTTACATTTCATCCTATGTTGGGATTAGAAACAACACAACACATGGGACCATGAACCCCGGCACATTCCGTTCACCATGTGGAGGTGAGAGGCAGCTATCACATTGGCGAAGGGGACACGGGTCATAGCCCACCTCTGTTCTTGATGACGAGTATGACCTCTATTGTATCTGTGAGCTTCAATTATGTGTCTGTGGAGGTCACCAATCAGGGCATTGCTATAAACAGAATAAGTTCATGAACACTGCCTGCCTTTGTTTTGTCTCAGAATATCATCAGCTACACATTATTGTCTGGGTTGCTTCACTGGAGCTACACAGTCTTTACAGAGTGGATATGGTCAAGTCTGCTCATCTTTCTCATTCTTCTCTCCCCTGGATCTTTGTTTGCATCAGCCTCTTGCTGGGGAATCCATCGCGTAGGCAGCTTTTACTGAGTACCCCAGGCTATGTAAAGTAGTTTGCATTTTACCTCATTTACTCCTCTCAACCACTCTGTCAAGGTTAAGGCATTATCTCCGTCCTACCAAGCAGAGGTAAAAAGAGTTTCCTGCAGTCAGGAAGGCCCAGGATCCTAGCTCACCATTATTCACCTCTGAAGCTGGAGCTCAGTCCTCATTAGCCCATTGCTTCTCAACAAGCTTTCTCTAGGAGCTGTAGGAATCTCTGAATCCCCCTGGGATCTGAGGTGGTTTTGATGCTCAGGTAGAAGGAATGGGCCAGACTAAGGTCAGATGGACATTCAAGCAGCCGCTGAAGTGCTTGCTTTTCTGCCTTTTTCTTTTAAATGCAACATAATGCACAGCCCAGCAGGTGTCCCCAGCCTGGCAACTGGTAAATTATAATAATAGTAACACTTTGCATCAACGCAGTACCTTTCATCTAGAGGCATCTGAGGACTCCTCCGACATTAATTAAACTTCACAGCATCCTAATTCTTTAAGGTCAGGACTGCACCAATTTTAAAGAGAGATAAACTGAGATAATAATGACTCTTATAAAGGACAAAGTCAAGATGGATCATTTGTCAGAAGAGCCTCTGAAGCAGATAATAGAGGCCCAGTCTCTTAAGTCAACTGAAACAATCATTAGATAAATATGTCAGAGAAAGCACCAGCTGTGAAGCCAGTAGACACCTTTTTAGCCTGACCTTTCCAGTGTTTATCAGGGTGAATAGAGTTAAGCCACTTTTCCTTTGAATTCTCCATGTATCCATCAGTAAACAAGGGGGCTGCTGATCACTGCCTTACTTAGAATCACTTATATTCATGGCAATATGGTCCTTAAGAAAAGCCTGCCCACAGTTTCCTAAACAGTGCCTCATGACGTGGGCTACCAGGATGTTTTGGAATCATCTTGGTGGGGGAGTGGGGTGGGGGTGGGGGGGTAAAGATGGGTTAGGAAGCTTTCAAAGACATGAAGAATCCCAGGGGCCCACCCCAGGGAGTCTAATTTAGCAGGTCAGAAGTGGGAGGCAGAGATGGCACGTTTTTAAGCACTCCTCAAGTGGTCCTCATGCAGCCAGGTTGGGACCCACTGGAGGCCTTTGTTCTGGCCTTTGCATAGCCACGGGGTACAGTGAGGCTTTCTGCGTCTGCCCCACATGCTCGCCCCCCCATACCTTTGCCCCATCCCATCCCAGCCTATTGCCCCCGAGTTCTTACCTATGGATCATCTGCTTGTTCTCAACAGCAATGGAAGAAAAAAATGTTCACATTGAGATAGACGATAGGCATCCCACTTATGTCGGTATATTAGAATGGTTCCAAAGGAAGTTTTGATTCTGTAATAAGAGCAGGTCTTCATCAAACACTGACTATAGGCCACACATGTGTCAATTGATTTGGTCCTCACAACAGCCCAATAGGTAGATGGTGCAGGTTATTAACCTTATTGTCTAGGTGAGGAAACTGACACAGAGAGGTTGGGTAACTTGTCGAAGGTCATGCTGCAGAGCGTGGAATTGAAGCTGGACAGTCCTTCTTGTCAAAACCTATTTGTAGTATCTCAGATGATCCAGAAGAGAGAGGATACGAGCAACGACATTCTGTGAAGTACTTAATGATACTGAGACCTTGGAGAATCTGATGAAAGTCACGAAAGCCTCTCCCAGAAAATGTTGGCTGTCATTTAAAAAGATGACAGAATTGTCTCTGTGACTTTTGGGGTGAAATTACAAATACAGCATTTTTGGTTAAACACAAGGGAATATTTTTGAATAGTCAGAGCTGTCAGAGTTTTCAATAGGCAGAGCTTGACTTCTTTCAAGGAGGTAGTGAGCTAGCCGTTGCAAAAGGTGCTCAAGCAAACGCTGGGTGACAAATTCACAGGGATGTTGCAGATGGAATTTTTCCATAACTCATCAATTGCCTTTCCGGAAAAGAAAAAAATACAACTGAACACTCTCTAAAGGAGGCCACCAAAATCCAGAGTATCAGTAGAGTAGCATCCATAATGTCTAATATATAGTAACAATAAACATATTACTAGTTATGTAAAGAAGCTGGACGAAGTGGCCCCAAACCTGGAAATTGAGCCTGAGATAACCCAGCTATTGAAATTAGCAACCAAACATATGTGTACTTTAAAGCAGCTGTTATAAATATTCAAGGACTTAAAGGAATGTATGTTCATAATAAGTGAATCTTCAGCAGATAAATAAACACCATAAAAAAGAACCAAGTGGAAACAAAAAAAATTTTTTTCTAAAAAATTTCCACTGATTTGGCTTAATAGCAGATTAGAGACAGCAGGAAAAGAGATCCAATGAACTTGAAGACATAATAATAGAAACTGTCCAAAATGAAGCCAGGAAAAAATAAAAAGACTGAAAAAAGAATCGCAAAGCTCCAGTGACTTTAGGACAACATCAAACACTGTGACCTCCATATAATTGGAGTCCCAGAAAGAGGGGAGAGATAATGAGACAGAAAAACAATTGAAGAAATTATGGTTAAATTGTGCCCATATTTGTTAGAAAACATAAATTTATAGATGCAAAAATATCAGTGAGACCCCATAAGGATAAGAATAAAGAAAATGACATTTAGGAACATCGTAGTCAAATTACCAAAAATTAAAAGAAAAAATTGAATGAATCTAATGAAAATGACACATTAGATACAGTAAAAGAAGGATGCGAATAGCAAATAATAGCTAATTTCTCATCAGAATCAGTGGAGGACAGAAGACAAATGACATCTTTAAAGTGGTGGGGGTGGGAGTGGAATACTCCTAAAAGTCCATATCCAGCAAAAATATCCATAAAAAATGAAAGCAGAATTAGGACATTTTTAGATGTTTAAAAATAGAGATAATTTGTCCCCAGAAGACTGGAATTGTAAGAAATCCTGAAGACAGTTTATCATGCTCAAGAAAATTGACAGAGCTACAGAAAGAGATAACAAGTACCAGGAGTGGTAAGTATAAAAATAAACAAAAGACAATTTTAATATATTTAAAATACATATGACATTTTAGAGCACAAAATTATAATACGACACATAAGTGGCGGATAAGATACAAAAGCATACAAAAGAAGTATGGTAAAAAGAACGCTACTGTTCCAAGATTCGTTCTTAGAAATCGTGACATTAACTCTAAGTAGACAGACTAGAATAACTTAAGGATGCATATTGAAATCACTGAGGCGACCATTTAACAGAGAATAGTGAAGAGGTAGGCATAGCTGGAAAGTCAGTGGAAGAATTAAGATTAAATGCTAGAAGAGATTTGATTAACCCAAATTAAGGCAGGAAAGGACAAATAGCAAAGTAATAAAAAAAACTGTAAACCTAAATCCAACTATATGAATAATAATATTAAATCTAAACAAACTCAACACTACAATTAAAAGCCTGAGATTATCAAACTAAATAAAAAAGCAAGGCACCGTTCCATCGTGTGGTACTTTAAATATGAAGCCACAGATAGTTTGAAAGTTAAAAGGTGGAGAAAAAACGCCATGCAAACATTCAGATTAAGAAAGCTGAAGTGACTGTATTAATATCAGACAGAAAAAAATAGACTTTGAGACAAAGATTACTTTTTTATTTTAAAATGATTTCAGACGTACACAAAAACTGCAAAATAAAGACTCGCTATACACTCTGTACCCAGGTTCTCCAATGGTTAATATTTTACCACATTTCTCAATATCATTCTCTCTCCATCCCTCTCCCTTTCTCTCTCTATCTGTGTGAAGATCTGTGCACACGCACCCAAGCCTGCAGATCATTTTTTTCTGACATACATAATTCTCTTTTACACTTAAATAGTCCATTGTGTGTGTTTCCCCCAAACCAGGTCATTCTCTCACATAAACACGAAAACAATGATCAAAATCAGGAAATTAACATTGTTATTATCTAATCTACAGATCCTATTTAATTTTTCTCCATTGTTCCACTGAGGCCTTTTTCAGAGCACAGCCACTTTTCTTCCAGTTCACAATTGAACCCAGGATTAAACATAGCACCTAGTTATGTCCCTTTACTTACCTTTTATTTATTATTATTAAAGTTTATTGGGGTGACAATGGTTAGTAAAATCACATAGGTTTCAAGTGTACAATTCTGTAATGCGTCATCTATAGATCACATTATGTGTTCACCACCCGGTCAGTTCTCTTTCCATCACCTTACATTTGACCCCCTTTACCCTCATCTACCACCCCCCTCCCCCCTTTCCCTCTGGGAACCGCTAAACTATTGTCTGTGTCTATGAGTTTTTGTTTCTTCATTTGTTTGTCTTGTTCCTTTGTTGTTTTCAGTTTTATATCCCACACATCAGTGAAATTATATGGTCCTCGACGTTTTGTGTCTGACTTATTTCACTTAGCGTAATACTCTCACTTACCTTTAATGGGGAATGGTTCCTCAGCCTCCGTCCTTTGTGATCTTGAGATTTTAAAAAATTCACAGGCCTTCTTTGTTCAAATGTTCCTCAAATTGTGCCTGTCTGATATTTGCCCATGATCAGGCAGGCTCTGGTTATGCGTTTTGGACAGGAATACCTGGGGAGTGACACTGTCCTTTGCTCTACAAAAGGTTAGGAAGAAAACCATGACTATTTGTCTGGATTCTGGTGATTAACTTTGATCGTTTGATGACGGTGGTATCCACCAGGTTTCTCCTACAAAGCTACTATTTTTGTATTTGTTCATTATTAGGAATCTTGTTGGGAGAGTCTTTGAGACCATGTTCATGTTATGTTTTTCATCAAACTTTCACCTACTGGTTTTAGCATCTTTTGCTTAGCCTTACCTGAAACAATTATTAGTAAGGTGGTTTCCCATTAAAAGCAAGGTGTACAGCCAGAGATAATGCCCAACAGTTGATACTGAAAAAGGGTCAAGTCATTAGGAAGACATAGTAATCTTAAATGTATATATGCCTGATTACAGATCTCCAAAATACGTAAAGCAAAACTGACAGAATTTTTTTTAAAAGAGAGATATAGCCACATTTGTAGTTGAAGATTTTTAACACTCCTCTTCAGTAATTGATAGACAACTAAACAGAAAATCACCCAGGATATAACTCTGAACAACACTATCGACCACATTGACACATATGAAACCCAAAAATGACCAAGGACACAAAGTTTTCAAGTTTGTACATTGAATGTTCATCATTGTTCATCACAGACTATTCAGTAGGTCTCAGTAAATTTTAAAAGATAGCTATCTTACAGAGCATAGCCTCTAACCAAATAGAACTATATTACAAATCAACTGAGATAACTAGGGAAGACCCAAATTTGTGTCCATTACAATGCTACTGGAGTGCAGTAGCCAAGATGGTGGCTTGTAGACAGGTTCTAAATATAGATTCCACTGTGTGAAGCCCTGAGGGATTCTGGGAGATAAGTCATGTTTTAATGCAATACTTCATTATTATTTGATATTTGCATATTTCAACTGAGAAACTTACCTGTAAAGAAAGGGTGACAATTATAATTAAGTATAGAGGTACACATTCAATTGTATTATTTGGCAGAGATTTGTTTTGGTGAGGGAAGTAAAGTATGGACCAAGCCACATGCCACCCCACTGGCTGGGCAGTGTGATCCCCCCAGACATACATAGGAGGGGGACCCAGTGCATTTCCTCGGACCTGCTCCACCCTCTGCTTTCAGCAGCTATCTCTTCGATAACTTAGGGAGGAGGGGTCTATAGCAACCCAGCTCTTCCCAGATTCTTGCTTTTGGAGAAGTTGACGTTATTCTGGCTTTAGGGAACTATAGAAATGAAGCAGCAGCAGCAGAATTACCTAGCAGCACATCCTGCATAAATGCCATTGGGTCTTTATTAGAATGGGGACAGAATGCTTCAGAGCAGCTGACCTCAGGAGGCTATTTCTGCCAGTAGACTGTGAAGGAAAATTGCATCTACAGCTGTATATACATTTGTATAGTTTATTTTCTTTTGTTTTTTCTCTAGTAACTAAAATTTTTATTAGGAACACTATTCTTTATGCAAGATATATATGTGTGTATGTATATATGTATATAAATATGTGTATATATTATTTTAATTTAAAAGTGAAAGTGAACTCAATGCTCAAAGCAAAGAAAATTGTCCTGTTTTCATTACCCTTTTAGAATATTGCTCTGCCCCCATTATTTTGGGAAACAAATCAGCATTTTAAAATGATTAGGAAAGTAAAGGGGGGAAAGTCACACTTGATTTGTTTTAGGCGATGAACTTCACACTTGAGAGGGAGAAGGGGAGCCTGAGAATGGAGCTGTGCAGGTTAGGAATCAGTGGGCTGGTCAGAATGGGTGTCAAGAAGAGAAAAGTCAGGGGTGGGGGGAACATTACAAATTAAGAAAAGTGATTCAGTGAAGAAGTGACTCAAAAGGTCAGGCTGCTAAGAGCCCCTGCAGGGCGAGAACCAGAAATCACACGCTGCAGCCCACACAGGCCCACACGAAGGACCAGAATAATTGATATAAGAGCCAGGATCTGCGTAATTCACAGGATCTTAAACCACCCACGGACGTGCAGCCCAACTGTCTCTGTGCAAACATCACGGAGCCCCGGTGACGGTGGGAGAGTTTGGGGCTGTGAGGTCATAGGGTAGCGAAAGACGGGGTTTATATCCACAGGGACCAGAAACGTGTTCCTATCCCACCCACTGTGTTTTGAAGATAAACAGGGAGTGATGACCACATGACAGTCAAATTCCCTACTGTATGTGAATGTGTGTTCCAGTCGCCAAGGCCATAGTTGGAGCTCTCCAGCGAAAAGATGAGTTGGAGTTGCTGCCTACCTTCAAACCTTAAGTCCATATCCACGTGCTTCCTAAATCTAACAGGAGCTGACACGCTCCAGCCTGCCTGGGGGAGAAAGACATGGCTGGTTTCCG